TAATTTATTTTATTTATTTGAGATTTTAAATATTAAGTACATTATTTTATTTAATAATATATAAAAATTATGTAAAAATTTACACAATAAATTGTTAATATATCACTATTTAATTTTCAAATATATAAAAATTGATCTAAGATATTTTAACCCTCCAAATAAAAATAACTAACTTAAAAAAATAAAAAGTATCATAGTTCTTTAATATAAAGGGCTTTCTTTTCCTATCAAAAAGGTCTTGTTTTGCATTTTGGTATTTGAATTGTAAAACATGAAAATCTTGATCAAATTGATATTTATTTTAAAACTTTAATTTAGGATAAAAATAGTAATTAACTCTAAATGTTCCAATATATATATATATACAACAAAAAAATTGTTTACGTGGATGAATTAGTGTTTAACACTAGCATGAAAGGAAGCTTTGGTATAAAATGTCGGTAATTAAAAAAAACAACTCGAGATATGAAATTTTCTTGATGAGTTTCTAGCTAGCCAATTTTTTAACATTATTCCTCAAATAATTTTCCTTCCAAACTTCTTTGGTGCTCTTCAATCCGTGAACAAGCATCTTTCATCTTCAGAGGTTTGCATGGAGCCAAAGTATTAGACTGTGTTTCCTCATTTTGGTGCTGAAAGTGTATCATGGGAAAGTGAAGGAAATAATGATCTACTAAGCTACATAATCTAGAAACTAAATCTATAAATATGATGACCGTGTAAATTACATGCTTAAACGCTACAAGAACCCCGATAATAAATATGGTCACAACTTGGAAACCTTTCCCATGGTATTGCAATGTCATAAGAGGAGTCATTGTGGAGTGCATTGCAGGGAAGAGGCTAGCTACAGTCTGGCATGTCAAGTGTGCTGCAAGAATTCTTCATTCTGCACCAACAAGGACTAAATCTGTGCAAAAAGGAGTTCGTTCCATGTGTCTGGAACACCAGGCAAACACCAATGCAAGCAATCTTGGACTCCTGGTGCAGCTGTAATACTGAATCGGGATATATGCCCCTCGTCTCTTACCTGTGATAGTGCTGTTATGTCCAGAAGCTTAACCCCTGTCTCCCTCACTGCACTGGCAGCAACATCATCGCTAGATTCTTCTTGTAGTACTTCCCTTCCTATAGACATAGGAGTTGTGTTGTCACAACTGCCTCCAGTGTTCCAGTCCCCATTTACAAAGTGCCTAGGAGAGATGCTACGGTAGAAGGCTTTCAAGTGTGGATATTTTGGTAGCTGTGAGTTCAACCACTTAACAGTATTGTGGACTGTGAAGTTCTTGGCACTTCCCATAGCTGCCATCTTCTTATTGGTGTTGGGAACACCCCCAATGTACATGACCCACCGGTTACCTCTAAGTTTCCCTCGATTCCAATGGTGTCCTGTGTTGAGAACCAGGACATCAATTTTGTGAAGAAATTGGTGTAGGAATGCTGGGGGCCGATCAAGATGCATGGCATATTCAGTGAGTGGGTCAGTAACATTAAGAGGCTCCAAATCACAAAGGCAGGAAGACCAGTGGTAGAGGACAGTAGTATTGGTTCTTGGGAATCTGTAAGCCCATCCATTAGGACGTTGACTACCAGGTGTGATGAAACCATACTCTTCTCCCACATCTATGACATCAGTCCTCTCTTTACCACCCGTGATCATGCACATTAGAGACAGGAACTGCTGTCTACCCAATGAATCTCCAACAAAAGCAAGGGTTTTATCCCGCATCCTGAACAGCACAGGAAATTACTTGGTTAAAAATCTTATTAATGGTAGAAAATAAAAACAAGAGAATCATTCATATTAAACTCTGACCAAAGATAACAGGAACAGAAGGAGGTGTAAAATGCATGCAAATAAAGGAGGGTGCTAAATGCCAATTCAAGAATGGATTTGGACCAACAAACTTATAGGTGTTGAAAAGGAATCAAGCCACTTGCAAGTTGTGACCCCTAGATTTCAGCTCATTCAAAGGGAGAGCAAAAGATTTCTTATTGAAAGGAAGATTAGGACTGCACATCTTGGGCCATTCATCATATTACAGAGTAAGAGCATAAAATGAAAGCATCCACTATATCATGTGGCTTTCGTATTTAGAAAATATTAAAAAATCCAGATGCTATAGTTAAATGGTATTCCTAAATCATGAACAAACATCTAATTTGGATCAATTACGTTGGTGAAGAAGATAGATAGAAAGAAATCAAAAAAAAGTGAAGCCTCATGGACTTTTACAACAAAAAAGGATCTACTATTCAGAAAATATAAAGCAGATAATAAATGGAAAGTTGCAGCTTTATATGCTTAGATTAATGCAATATACTCATATGTGATTAAAACTTGCCAAAGATTATCAAGAGTAACAATATCTTGTAGTTATATGAGTGTTCTTCTGCAGATCAAGCCTCAAAAGGAGCTATGTCCGTTTACAATGATTAGAAGAGGGGCTGCTCATCTCTTTTTTTGGCAGCAATCATTATTTAATTCTACTTTTTTTTGGGGGGTGTACTACAAAGCTGGCAGACATTGAGCTCTCAACTTAATAGTCACAGTGGTGATCCTTGCCATATATACACAAACCTACCTTACTTTGATATCTTAGACATGGCGAAACAGGATTCATTGAACCAACTTATGAAAAATATTCAAGGAAAAGAGATAATGGTACCTTTCCAGGAACTTGGCACCTTCAAATTCTTCCATTTGACAATCTTTTGGTTGCCACCTTAGCTTTTCATAGGCAAAATCTTGACGCTGCATTAATCGGCAAGCCCACATTGGAGCTAACCATTGTTTACATTCAGACCCAGAATATAAAGGTCGTCTGTCATCTACCACCCACTTTCCTTTTGCATAATTACAGGCTGAGCAAGGGTAAGATAAGATTACATTCAGTAATGACTAATGAAAAATATTATCACAAGATATAATTCAAATAATTGCAGAAATCCATGGTACCAAGTAGCACTTGCCTCTAGCTACTAAATCACTAAAAGGTGATGAGTGATAGATGTGAGATCACTGGTGAAATTTTATTTGCAAAGAACTTACAATCTTAGATCCATTTATTTTATCCTAATCATAAGAACAGAAAGAGCTCCTCACCCTTCTTATGTGGAACTGTTACTGAATAAGAAGTGCTTTTCACAGGATTCTCTGAAGTCACTTCATCCAACTGGTGTGCCTCCTCATTATTTATGGTGTCTTTCGGCACAAAAGCTGTAATATCTTTGGTCACATGTGTTCTTTGTTCTGACGGCATCAGTATAATATCTGCACCACATAATATGATAAAGAAAAAGGGAAGTTAAAGGAAGCTTGAACTCAAATGTAGCAAAATCATTGTCTAGAATATACTGAGTTAAGATGATTGTCTAATATCTCAAACCTTATAAAGAATTACATAAAGCATTTTCCTATGACAAAGGAAATGACATTATTTAAGTGGCACCAACATTTGTTAGTAAACACATTGTTCTAAGATGCAGCATTTCAAACGATGTGCTCATCAAAAAGCAAACTGAAGATAGGCATGACAGTGCTTTTTTACAACCTTAAGCAACTCCTTCAACAAATTGAATAAATTAAGAAACACAAAGGAAAATGATGGATGGACAGACCTGGAGAATGTTGCAACAACGGAATTTTGGGCGGCAGCTGCAATGAAGTTAGAAGTGGAGTTCTGTCCCATGCCCAGAAAAGAATAGTGGTACATACAAAAAAAATGAGAGCTAGAGACAACTCTTGACCCCTAGATCTTATTCTGAGTTGCCCTCCTTTCATCCTAATACAGACATGAAAATACCCACTTGTCAAATCTTCATTCAAAACACACAATTCATCCAGCCACACACATAAAATTGCAGAAAATTTCCAGAAAAGCTCTCTGCATTGAACTCACTTCATTAAAACTCCATTACATCATATCACCCAGATACAGCATACATAAATGCAGAAAATTTAGAGAAAATGACAGCAGTTCAAAACCCCATTCTTCAAATCACCAAAACCAAAACTTTTTCAGAGATTCAGTAATTATTATGATTAAATTGACACTGGACATCTTCATGAACATCAAACGAAATCAATGACAAGGAAAGAAACAGAAAAAAAAAAAA